ATGTTTTCCTCTGTTGAAACTCACGGGTATGGCTGTGACAGACAAAGGATTTAAAATAAGAGTGAATGTTGGAATCAAAACCACAATCTTCGGGTAAAAGCAGCGAATGGTGGCGCCTTAGACGATTGCATTGAAGGGGGACATTCATGTGCATTTGCATGCTGCAATGCATGCATATGCTATCCCAAGATAGGAATGATGTGACCAATACAGGCAACTTGCAAATTCACAACACGATAAAGAAATACCTGTCCATTTTGTTTGCAGCGTTTATTATTATGTCAAGGTAATTCATGTAAGCTTTACAGGGATGTTTGTTCGTGGATACACTTCACAAAGTGGGATGGCTTTGACTGCGCTTGGAACTTATCTAAGCTATCACGCGAGTCTGCTTAATGTGGACAAATATATATACAAACAAAGACTTCAGACGTAAACCAGAGTGATTTAGGCCTTGAGGATGGGTACTGTGGCGACGGCAAAGGTCACACAATCTGGGGAATCTGGGACCCACGTCAATAACATGGAGCAGATGATGGCACAGTCATCACTGCTAGGTGCGCCTCCTTTGACCATGAGAAACATGACGACCCCCATCCTCCGCCACACACGCACGTCGGCACGCACGCACACATAAACACGGGAGACCCCATACATTGGACACCTGTCTTGACTTGAGGGACTATGTATCCATCGAGCAAACTCGGCTAAGAGATGTTTAATGCATTCTGTCCATAAGAGAAATTAATAGCCAAAGGATTCTATGTTTCATACAAATGTGTATGACGGAGTACTTGTGTATGACTGAGTACCTGTGTATGACTGAGTACCTGTGTATGACGGAGTACCTGTGTATGACGGAGTACTTGTTTATGACTGATTACCCGTGTATGGCTGAGTACCTGTGTATGAAGCAGTACCTGTGTATGACTCGGTACTTGTATATGACTGATTACCCGTGTATGACTGATTACCCGTGTATGACTGAGTACCTGTGTAAGACGGAGTACCTGTGTATGACTGAGTACCTGTGTATGACTGAGTACCTGTGTATGACGGAGTACCTGTGTATGACTGAGTTCCTGTGTATGACTGATTACCTGTGTATGACGGAGTACCTGTGTATGACGGAGTACCTGTGTATGACTGATTACCCGTGTATGACGGAGTACCTGTGTATGACGGAGTACCTGTGTATGACTGAGTACCTGTGTATGACTGAGTACCTGTGTATGACTGAGTACTTGTGTATGACTCAGTACCTGTGTATGACTCAGTACTTGTATATGACTCAGTACCTGTGTATGACTGAGTACCTGTGTAAGACGGAGTACCTGTGTATGACTGAGTACCTGTGTATGACGGAGATCCTTTGTATGACGGAGTACCTGTGTTTGACTGAGTACCCGTGTATGACTGAGTACCTGAGTATGACTGAGTACCTGTGTATGACTGAGTACCTGTGTATGACTGAGTAGTTGTGTATGACTCAGTACCTGTGTATGACTCAGTACTTGTATATGACTGATTACCCGTGTATGACTGAGTACCTGTGTAAGACGGAGTACCTGTGTATGACTGAGTACCTGTGTATGACTGAGTACTTGTGTATGACGGAGTACCTGTGTATGACTGATTACCCGTGTATGACGGAGTACCTGTGTATGACTGAGTACCTGTGTATGACTCAGTACCTGTGTATGACTGAGTACCTGTGTATGACTGAGTACTTGTGTATGACTCAGTACCTGTGTATGACTGAGTACCTGTGTATGACTGAGTACCTGTGTATGACTGAGTACTTGTGTATGACTCAGTACCTGTGTATGACTCAGTACTTGTATATGACTGATTACCTGTGTATTACTGAGTACCTGTGTAAGACGGAGTACCTGTGTATGACCGAGTACCTGTGTATGACGGAGATCCTTTGTATGACGGAGTACCTGTGTTTGACTGAGTACCCGTGTATGACTCAGTACCTGTGTATGACTGAGTACCTGTGTATGACTGAGTACTTGTGTATGACTCAGTACCTGTGTATGACTCAGTACTTGTATATGACTGATTACCCGTGTATGACTGAGTACCTGTGTAAGACGGAGTACCTGTGTATGACTGATTACCTGTGTATGACGGAGATCCTTTGTATGACGGAGATCCTTTGTATGACGGAGTACCTGTGTATGACTGATTACCCGTGTATGACGGAGTACCTGTGTATACTGAGTACCCGTGTATGCCAGTACATGTAGGTAATCACCAGCCCACTGTTGACAACATAGTGCACTTAATCACAAGTTCTGCACAAGTTCTACTTGAGTTACACACACGTTATACACCGTTGACGACAAACATGAGGTTGCATCCCTGGCATATGGATTCGGATACTTCGATCAAAAGTTTCATTTAATCTAAAGCGAAAATACCTGTGGTAATAAATCATGAATAACTGAAAAGTGGTGATACTGATTGACCATATGAACTATATGTCTGTACAGATTCATTAATCGTCTTTGTGTACAAGACAAGACAAATCACACAACAGTGATATAGAAAGTCACACATACAATCGTCTTTCCCATTCTCAGACTCTCAAACTACCTCCGTGTTGCACCCTTGCGTAAAGAACACAGCATTAATATTGTTTGGAAGATTTTGTATTTTTAATGTTTAACTAAGCCTGCGGGGGTCCGACATCAGCTCAGTTTATATACAAACCCACTTTTAATCTTCAAAGAACACGGGATGAAGTTGTTTTTATGAGCTAATAAAAAAGTTTACAACACGAAAATAAGATCATGAACGAGTATAACTTTGGTCTTTGAGAACAATTACAACGTGCCTGAAGGATGTGATGAACTACTGTTTTGAAGAACATGACTCACGCACAAGAGAGGAAGATGTTACAGGCGCGGTGAGATATCGCCTTCAGGATTATTGCACTAACGAGGAGTGAGTGATAAGTTCTGATCCCCACATGGGTGAGGTGAGGTGAGGTGTGGTGAAATGGGGTTTAACGTCGCGTCCAACATTATTGCACTTACATAGCGACGTGCATGCACGTGTGTGTGTGTGCTTGTACTAGTCCGGACTGATGCCGATTTATCGTGCTCGCCCACTGACACAGTATACTGACTCCGAGCCGACCAGTCCTTGTTTTGGCCCCTTAATGTCAAGTAACAGACAGGCAGGGCAACACTAAGTACCATCTTGTAACGTCTTTCGGGAAGACGCGGACGGGGATCGAATCCGGACCCTCCACTCTCCGGGCGGACGTTCTACCACCAGACCTGAGGAGGTCTGAGCCTAAAATAGAAAGACTTGACCTAAACATATTAGATATATTTCTAAAAATAATCCGCTTCCACGTTGATACACTTCTGCCAACGATTTGGAGGGACTTTATCCGAGTTTCGTTGAAGTCCTTCTTCTGGCTTTCCACAGTTCTTTACAGCTGCTATGACGCCATCGTTCGAACCGAAATTGATTCCGGATAGAGCTTTCATCATGTTTTGGAACAGATGACGAATAAGGTGGGTGCTGAAGAAGTTCATGGAAACACTCGTGGATTGTTGCGATGGTTATTTGTGCACTGGAGCATTGTCCTTGAGGAAGAGCACACCTTTTTCAGCTTCCCACGTCTGATAGTCTTACTTTCGTCCCGTAATTGCCTCAAAGGTGCAGTATACTATGCTCAGTTTGTTATTTGGCTCTTTGAAAGACAATCAACCATGATGACACCCTCGGCTCCCCAGAACACGGAGTCCATAACTTTTCCAGCTGATGGGACATTATTTGCCTTCTTTGATGGTGTTGATGTCAAATGCTTCCACTATTTTGATTGATGTTTGGACTCAGGCAGGAAGTGGTGAACCCAGGTTTCAACCATTGTCACAAATTGCTGCAAGAACCTTTCTGGATCAGCTTCAAACAGAGCAAGATTGTCACGAGAAATGTTGTGCCGGGTGCTTTGTTTGTCAGAGGCTTTGGAAACCAGCGAGCTTCATTGCCAAAGTTTCTGTGTTTATTGAGTGTACTCTCTCCTGGGACATGCCTACTGAACTAGCAATATGACGCCCAGTCATTCGCCGGTCAGACATAACCTTATAGTGTACCTGACAGGCAGTCCAGGACGGAGGTCGTCTTCAAGGCTCTCCCTGCCACATTCGGACTCTGCTGCCCACACCTTTACGGTGACACAGGGGCATCCTTCCCAAGTGTTGTGGTATCTTCATGGATGGTTTTGGTGTAAAGCCCTTTTTCTGCAAGTACTTGATCAAGTACGTTCCTCAAGATTGTCAGTTTTCCATAAGTCACAGATCCCTGCTTATTTGACTGACTTGACAGTGAAACAATTTGATCAAGTGATTTAAGGTTTTGCGGATAGACCTCTATACCATGTTATCTCCACGACAAAAGGTTTCACTAATATTACGCAATTTCTTCTATGTGAGGCTTAGAACTTATTAATCAACCGTCGTTTAAGCGACGTGCATGTGCGTGCGCACGTGTGCGTGTATGTGTGTGTGTGCGTGCGTGCGTGCGTGCGTGCGTGCGTAATGTCTCCATACCATGCTGCAGTTTAACATGGATACCCCAATCAGACACAGTATACTGACTCCAAGCCGACCAGTCCTTGTTTTAGCCCCTTAATGCCAAGCGGCAGGCAGGGTAACAACGTGTACCATGTTTTAACATGTTTGTTGTGACGCGGCAGGGATCGAACCACCGAGCACTTATCAGACAGACGCTCTATCCACTACACCAGGAAGGCCCCAGGCGTTAGAGCACAGTAGCGACAAGATATCACTAACTTTAGGAACAGAAATAGATCACTAAACATCGCGATACCATATATATATATATGTATATGTACCATACTGACGGTGTTAAATAAATTATGATAAAATCTTAAAACGCGTTGAACGAATGTTTCACTCGCGTTCCGCTCTGATGTCTGCTTCTATATAAATGTTAAAATCTTAAAAAAGACTTACCCTAATACATAACATGGTAGGGATGCTCTCACGTCAACTTCATCAACGGTACTGAGCACACGGTTTAGACCAGAAGTAAAGCCAGCCTACTTAGAGCCGTGTCTGTAACAAGTACACTCTCTGGGACAGAGCAGCCATCGTGTAGATATATATACACATGCACACTGTCACCAACCAGTGACGAAATATCACGGAAGAGTAGGTCCCGAGGTTCAGTGTGGCTCTGTCCATTAGCAGGATATAACCTGTATATCTACAGACTCAGTTGTCAATGTGCCATATTCTGTCTGCGGAATCTTGCCAACGTTAGGGATGATATAGGGACTCCCGAGTTATATGGTTATAACACGTGGTGATACCGCCATCGATTGTTATACATAATCCGAACACCTTACACATCTTTGTGATGCATGTATATGCTCGCTTTCCTGTAAGACTATCGGTTACTTGTAGACAAAAAGCTGAACCACAGACTATGGAGACGCAGTTACGGGCCGGGTTGTTGCGTCTTAATATCACTGTCACCGACCGATTTTTTAAAACCAATCACTTACGAGGGACCTGTTATATCGACCACGTATGTCGCAAAAGAAACGAAAAATATATAACAGTGAGCAACAAAGCAACTTTGGTCATTACGGGAGCAGTTCGTAAGTTCGACGTCGGATGAAAGTTTTAATTAATTAAGGAATTAACGGTTACCCTTCACTGCACTTTTGACCTACACAGTAACTGCACCCACCGAGTACATTTAATGACAATTAAATATGAATTGTAGTTTTGCTGATACGGAGTCAATGGCTTGCAAGAAATCTTGCAAGAAATCATTCAGCTGTGCACTCATTCGTTAAGACAGATCTTGCTTCTGTGAAGTTATTGTCAATATTAAATCGTATTGGGGAAGAAAGAGTATTATCACTGCAAAATATATTTTCCCTTCCTGCTGTTGTGCATTGCAATTTGCAAATCTGATTTGACAATAATCAGAAAATTAACCATGACGTGTGCCCATAACATCGCCAGATATCATGTATCATCAATAGTAAAGTTTGAATTTTATAATGTGTATCTAGTGATATTTTAAATCCCATCTTGAAGCCCATCTTCAAGCCAGAGAAACACCAACATTATTAACATCTTCAAGAACATGAGGAGGTGTGAGTAAAACAATGAATGTTGTATAACGCCGCAGTCATCAATTGTTCTGGCTACAATAACGATGGCATGTATATAATCATAATCATGAACAACGGTGGCGCTATCGGGTTCGAAGATCAGCCAGACTGACCCCCAGTTCCCATTTTAATTGGCTCTTTCGAAAACCGACCCGTGAAGATGCGGGCTAGAATTGGTCTCCAGGAACCCATGCTTGTCGTAAGAGGCGACTAATGGGATCGGGTGGTCAGGCTCGCTGACCTGGCTAATGCATGCCATGGTAACCCGTGGATCGATGCTTATGATATCAATCACTGGATTTTCTGGTCCAGACTTGATGATTGACATAAAGCCTCCATATAGCTGGAGTACAATAGGTCTTCAGCAACCCATGCTTGTCGTAAGAGGCGACTAACGGGATCGGGTGGTCAGGCTCGCTGACTTGGTTGATGCATGTTATCGTATCCCAATTGGGTGGATCGATGCTCATGATGTCAATCACTAGATTGTCTGGTGTAGACACGACTTGTTTACAGACCGCCGTCAAATAGCTGGAAAATTGCTTAGTGCGGAGTTAAACACAAAAACAACAACAAACAATCACATAGCTGGAATATTGTGACAAAACAAACAAAACTTTCGAAAATCATAAGGTAATAGATAATTATTCTAACCCGGCACAGGGAAAACTCAGTACGATAAGCATATTAAAATATGAATAGTTACTTTATTTCTTCAGTTTAGTGATGTCAACATAAAGACGGCGACTGTCACGTGTGTATTGATAAGATTGTCCTAAATGGAAATCTTTGAATTTAACACATTGCCCCGTCTAGTTGGTGAAATTAGACTGCCGTCTGAGATATCTGCCGCGCCAGTTTTGTTTAATGTGGGATATCGAACCTAGCTGGACCGGTTCCTTCACGAGCAACAACTGCCCAAGTTGTAAAAAAAATTACAACAGCGAAAAAGCTCATCAACTCAGCAGGGTACGACATGTGGGCGGAACAGCGTAATGCAAGTGTCCAATTACCATTTGCCTCCGACCATTATGATGATATTAACACCTAACTAGCACGTTGCGTCGCCCGGTGAAACATTATCGTTTCCCATTACCTGTTGTCATGAGGCCAATAAGGGAGGAGACTTCCAGTCCCAATCGAGAAACGACAAGCTATCCATTCTCACTGTTACGTAATGGTCTTCAAGTCACCAACAGAAGCAACCTTTGCTCGTCCACATCATCTTCCCGAGGCAAGAGAGTTAACTGACCATAAAAGTCCAGTTTCCACCCTTGCCGAACTAGGCTGGTATTATGGAGTTACATTTTGGCTGGACTAACGAGTCTATGCATAGTCCAATCAAAATCGCGCAACGAAATCGAAATCCGGTTCGTCAACTGTCGTGCAGATTTCGGTCGATTGCAGGATTTGCAAAGCATGTGCACCGCCAACCCGTTGTCAACAGATATTTTCTTAATCTTTTCATGTTTCTAATCAAGGTGCTCACGTGATTTGATGCACTTTGCGATGTAAGACTTGTTTTATCACAATATAGATCTTGATTATCGATCATATCGTCTTGACTGGGCGCCGCCATTGTAATTGAAAAAAAATGCAAGTGATACGAGAGGTGGAATCTGATTGGTCCATAGGAGAGGCTTAGAAGGGATATAACTGGTAAAAGCCACTGGTGGCGCTACGATCGAGCCCAGGAATTCCAGCCTAGTTCGGCAAGGGTGGAAACTGGACTTTTATAGTCAGTTAACTCTCTTGCCTCGGGAAGATGGTCCACATTGGACGCTGTGACTTGTGTTCGTTTCTTTGGATATCCGAGTTCATACCATATATGTTTGTTGTGTAACGCCGCGCTCAGCAATATTCCAGTTGTATGACGGTGGTCTGTAAATAATCGAGTCTGGACAGACAATCCAGTGATTGACATCATGAGCATCTATCTACGAAATTGGAATACGATGACATGCATCAGCCAAGTCAGCTGTGAACAATATTTCAGTTATATCACGCCCAGCGGCAAAATCGGGTTAGATAACGTCCTCAGCAACCTACGCTCGTCAAACATGGCGACTTAATGGATCCGTTGTCAAGGTCGGTGAACTGGTTGATTCCGTATGACGGCGTGTGATGGCATGTGCCGTTGCTCATACTGTCGATCACCGGTTTGTGATTATCTGCTTTGTCCAGACTCGATTTTTTACACGCCGTTGTGATACCGCTGAAATATTGAGTTAAAAAGGGGAAGAGACGTTTTACCATCCAAAACTGGTCTTTCGAAACGATATTAGGGATACGATTATCGTAAAGCTATCGTTAGAAAATTGTACACTGTCGTAGCCTATTTTCGAAACAAGTAAGATTATTTTCATTTTCATCCAAAATGGGGGCATACTTTGCGTTAGATGTATTGAGTGAGTGAGTGAGTGAGTTGGGTTTAACGCCGCTTTTAACATTATTCCAGTCATATCGCGGCGTGTCAGCTTAATGGGGGAGGAAAGCCCGAAGTGATGCAGGTTTTAGACGTTTACCACTTCGGTGAAAGCCACGAGCACGGGTATGGTGCTGACAAACCTAGAAACATAATTGGGGCGAACCGGGATTCGAACCCACAATCATAGGTTTCTGGCGTGCCCAAGGGACGCAACTCTGCACAGCGAATCGCGGCGCCTTAGACGACTGGGCCACCCGTCCCCCCTTAGATGTATTGAATGATTATGATGGATTGATAGGAAAACCACGACTATTCCAAGACTTAACACACGTATTTTTGGTATTACGCAGCAGGGATCGAACCACCGACCTTCCGCTTTGCGGGTAGACGTTCTATCCACTACACAAGCTTTAGTTTGAAATCTGTGGAATCAAATACAGTTACGTCCCCTTAATCTCCACTAAATGGCTAAAGATGTATCTACGTCTTGTCTCAGTTGGAGGATCTGGAGAGAGTTACGTCTCCACAGTCTGCAGGTGCAAGCGATGGATCTAGACATCATACAGAACATCTGCTCGATTCACCTGAATTTCAAACGCAAGATGTTTCTAATTACCTGGGGTGTTACATCGACGTATCAGTTCCAAACACTTCATGTTTTCACAAAGGGAACTGATCATCAGGGCGGCATAGAAATATATACTATATATAGATTAATTACCTTGGAAAACAGAAAGGTACAAATGAAGCACATGTTTTACACGTGCTGTTGTTTACATCTGTCAAGCAGCTATCTGATTGGCAGGTAACTAGCAAGGGAGGTAATCGCTCCCAGGCGCGGGAAACTCGGGCATGTGGCGCTAACTCTTTTAGTGATTAGGTTCCAGCGTAGTTACCATAGCTACGGTAAAACACTTCTGCTGGCACCTGTTTCTGAGAGCTGGGATCTGTATTGCTTCACTAAAATAACTCAATTTTACGGTTGAAGGGTATGGGTTGTAAAGCCCGTTATGAAGTGCGTTGATGAATACAATTCTTCCCGCACTGCCAACATCGCGATATATAGGCGCTTAACCTCAACCATTTCTTGGCAGATGAGAGGTTGCCCCGTAAACTTGGGATTACAGGCTCCGCGAGTACACACTATATCATCTCCTATCAATATGAACCTTATCCAATCTGCGACACGGGTCGGAATAAATTCAGTACACTCGTTAATACTGTCGTTGCTCCCTGACAGACTGTTCTCGTGTTGGACATATGATGTCTATTCATGCTACTAGATCTTCTGATGTGTGTCAATGAGGAAGCGCATGGTTTTACAGCACTAATAGCAGTAATACCATGGCAAGAACACCTAAAATAGGATTCACACGTGGTATCAATTTTAGGAATCGAACCTGGATTTTCAGCGCTCGGCAACGTCACGACTGTGATGTTCTGTGTGACTATCTGCAGAATCTTTGTGGTGCAAGTAGAAGCACCGTCATCAGTATCGAACCATGCTGGTATATAATCTGTACGTCGTAGCCCAGTTCACACGTAATTTCCAACCACAACGCATTTGGGGCTGGTCTATGGTTCTGGAAACCATAGATGTATGGAAAGACCTTAGCC